CTCGTCGATTTGAGATTTGGTTTATAGAGTTGTTCACGCTAGATTAATAACAGCTGGACCCACATTTGTGCATATTTATATGTTTCCTGCTCTGAACTGCATTATTAAATGCAAGACTTACATAATATTAAGTATACTCTAATACGTATTATTACCTAAAATATTAAAATATTCATTATCAACATTCATATCAGAACGTTATATGTGCATATGGTTTATAACTATTTCTTAAAGAAGAAAAGTGAAACTTAAATAATGACAGGTGTTAAAAGTGAAACAGTGGTGGAATTTACGGTCCTGGCCTTTCTCTCCGTAGGGAGTCCGTCTCATACATCACATTCGATGTATAACCGGTCGCCCTTCTCCACAAGAAGGAACCCACCATACAGTTACGTAAAATGTTACTGACAGTGATGTAACCACATTGACAGCAAACAGAACATACGGAAAACGAGTTATCTGTTCTTGCGTCTGAGAATAAAAACTCATCTGTGGACGGCAACCTCAGCGAATTATTCTTCTTGTCTGTCCTTACCACAGCTAGAGCTGCTCGTTGCACAGATACCAGTTTATTACTAGAATAGTCCACTTATTATTGTGGTTTTTGAGGGACACTGGGGCAGCTTTATCTTCTTGACATTCTAGGTTCTCACGGCAACGAGTATGAAAATTAGTCTTCTGGGATGTAGCGCCGTGTAGTCTGGTTATGATGGAAACAGAATATTTCAAACGTCGATCGGTTTCTACCAGACTACACGGTGGAACAGACGCTTGTCACTTTAATGTTCTTTAACCCATACGAGATCTCTGTACTAAGATGCTCAGTCCCCACTTTTGCAAGTAAACTAACTGTTTATTTACAGTATTCGTTCACTCAGTGGTACGTTACAAATTGTAGATATTATTATGAGGAGAGTTCAGTGCATAGACCTTCTGACGTACTGATATTCTAAAACAATGTTTTTTTAGTCATCCTTACGAATGGCACATATATTACACAGTTAATCGCTGACAGCTTGGCTAATTACGTGTGTGTAAGTATGCATGCACGATCCTCCAGTAAGTCCCCAATGTGGTCTCTTCACTACTCGTTTTCCTACCAAAATGTGTACGTCTCCCATAATATCTGGTGAAGAGTGCAAAGCATGAAGCTCTTCATTATCCCTTTATGGAAAGTCGGGACTTCTAAGTCCCTGTAGTGGATGATTCTTGTAGTTTAGGATGTTGGGCTTCTGGCCTGGAGGGACTGCTGATTTCTCCTTGCTGTAGGATCCTCTGTGTGCACCACGTGGTAGGAGCGTCTTGATATGGATGTGAGGGACCTACACAGATGCATTTGGACTTACGTTTTGTTAAGAAACATAATTTCGGGCCACAAAGGGTTATACATTTTTCTACAGTCGTCAGCATTTTGGACAACTTCAGATTGAATTCTGGCCGGGTATCAGTTATTATGACTGGGACTTTTTTCTGAGTACATCAGGCGGATTCTGAGATATTAATTTCAAATAAATTAGAGCGACGTCTTGCCTATCCGTCATTTACAGTCATCTTATAGTATCTCACTGAACGTTACATAAAGTTCACAGCTGATAAATCGCCTTAAAATAACAATATAAGTAAAAAAGAATTGGTATACGGAAACAAATTCTGCAAAGTAGAGTACTTTATTTCCTGCAATGTATTTCAGTAGGTAAACTGTATACTTGGGTTTCAGTAACTGTAGACCATTAGAGCAGAGTCTTGTTTGAAGTAAAACTTTCTTTATATTAGTGAGGCGGGTCTAACTTTCTCAATTACGACTGTCCAAACCCGATTTATGAGCATGTTTCGTGCCTATGAAGGTTTCTCTCGACAGGTTTACGTTGCTGTGGCTGAGTGTTACCATAACAGGTTATGGCTGGTTCGTGCTTCATATTGCAATGTCCTTTGGATCAGGGCGCTGCTCTGGCCCCAGTTCTAGTCGCTTTTTCGCTTCAGTCTCTTGGGAGTAACAAAACCTGCGAATATTTAATTTAATATTTTATTTGCAGGCGCTGTACTTAATTTTCATTTCATTTCCTTCTTCACCTTCGAAGCAGCTATGATAGCATGGAAAAAGGAAGCTCTTGTCAGAAAGAAATAATTTTAGAAGAAGAATTTTTCGGGTTTAGATGACCCATGAACTCTCTGGGATGATTTGAAGAAAAGTATTATTCGTGACGACGTATAGATACGTGAAAGGATGATTTATTTGTGTTAACAATATTGATCTCCGAATACACGTAAAAGAAATGTAATTTTGATGAAGATATTTCCTGCAAAACTAAATCTTTGAATGACAGAGTATAGTTCTAGCTCCACGTGAAGTAATAATGGTTACTGTAATAATGCAATATTACGGTAATTAACTGAAGTACGATTTATGAGTGGGAAATGCTGTATAGCCAATCTACAGGGATATTCTGCGCGATTATTTATCTCATATGCATTTCCAACCCCATATTATTTTTTCTGTAACCACCCCGAAAGCAATGAAAGGACTGTTGTTATCTCTACAGAAGACGAAACTCATCATTTGTACCTCCAAGAAAACACATCCTACCTCCATTACAAATGACAATCGATTAATTACGTTCAAGGGAACAATTGCCATTAATTATGAGATTCAGTCGAAACGTTTATATAGTTTGATTAAAATGCACGTTTAAATTTATTCTCAAGAAAGGAACATAGCTATTGAAGGTGTTGAATGAAAATTGTTGATCATTTACGTCTTTCAAGCAATATAAACGACGCAAAGACTGTCTTGTAATTTGTACGAGGCAAATTTGTGGTAGCGTACAGAAATGAGATGGAGAGGGCAGCGTATGATACACCAGGATCTACTTAAAATAGTCTCGCGGTGAGTTAACCAACCACCTTACAAGTTGGTTAGCGGAGTCACATCTCTGGGACGGTCTTGCGCCGGTCTGGGAACGGTCCAGCAAGCAAAGAACGCAACAGGTTGAAAGATACTGTACCTCTAAGCTCACTTGTTCACCAAGTCCTTAATTACCAGGGACACATCATTACTACAGAGTCAAGCCGTGGTGAGACGGTCATCTTCGAGATACGAGCAGGGTACCTTCGTTTTACAGGTCATGTGCGTTTGTTGTGTGGACGTTTTATAAGTTTCTGGTGTTTAATGACTGGGAGTATGAGTTATCAGAATCGTCAGTTGCATATATTAACGATTTATGTCTGAATAAACGGAGGAAAACCGGTCATTTGAACCAGGCTCAAACCCGGCCTGGTGGACCCGAACATTATTTGTGCTCCCAGGCTGCTGACCGAGACCCAAAGGTAGATACCAACGTTTCGGATAAAAATAAAGTCTCCATCGTCCACGGCTTCGGGGTTTTAGTCTGAAAACCTCAAGGAGAGAGCTATTGAGAGACATTGAGATAGATGTGAGAATGTTACTGAAGAAGATCTTAATCAGAGTGTGAGAATGTGGACCGAATTCATCTGGCTCAGGATAGGTTTATTGTGAACACGGTATTGGACCTTTGCGTTGTGATATTGCTCAGAAAGCAGATTATGGATTCACGGGTACTAACGTCCTGCCTAGAATTTACAATTCTTGTAACTTTATGCTACCATAGGCACAGATAAGGCTGTACATTCCAGAAATACAGATAAAATTATTCGTAAACAGTGCAAAACATGTGACATTGATCTCTGCAAACAATTTTGAAACATGCGACAAGTAAATCCGCGTAAAATTGACATTTCTTATCATCGTATTTCAACTGTATAAGAAGAATGAACTGTAAAATTTCATCATGCATTTAATGACATGTGTATTTTGTGTTTAGAACATTACTTCATGGAGCAGAGTCCTTCTTGAGAAGTTAATAGTACGCTTAGCTAGACAAGAAACTAAAAGTTTCTTTTAATGGAAATCGAAGGTTCATTACCGTGTTCACAAGATCCCCCCACCGGTCCCTGAACTCAATCCATCTCTCCAAACCTACTCCCTAAGATCCTTTTTAATATTATTCTCCCTCCTACGTTCTACTAGTATTCTCTGTTTAATTAATTAATCTTGTCCGTCTAATCACAATTTAAAATTAAGATAGTTCAAATATCATGTGATGCTCCTTATCGAAACATTCGATTACATGCCTCGCCCAGCTTATCCTTCGTGATCTGATTATCCTAATAACATTTAGCGAAAAGTACACATTATGGAACTACTCGTTATGCAGTTTCGCCACCCTCCTGTCACTTCACCCCTCTCAGATCCAAATATTCTCCAAGTCCCCTGTTCTCGTATAGTGTACTCGTAAAGGTCATATTATGTTTTCTCGTTGGCTTATGCTCACGGACGTGGATGTAGTAGGATCAAAAAAATTTCTAACCATCTGAAAAGTCTCGTATTTGTCGGAGTGTAATGAAGGGAATTAATTAGTTATTCGATGAAGCAGACGCTTTGTACCCCGTGCTAATTCGCACTTGTTTTTTTATTATTGCAGAAAGTAGGCTGTAAATAAATAACTCACCAGTTATTGTTAAACTGTTGATAAACGTTATCATATGAATCCGAATCAAGAGAGGTTGGTTTAGGACTTTTCTTTGTAAGAAAGACAGGGATTGATGGACAGATTTGTCGTCCGTGTTGGTAAAAGTTGTAATGTTAGCAGCAAACGAAATTCCAGAAAAAAATATGTTTTTACAAGTTCAATTTACGTATTTGTTTGTGCTAATCAAAAAGTTTAAATTCGTGTGTGTTAATCTCATAATGAACGAAAGATAATGGGCAAGGTGGATTTGTAGGTATAATCGGGTTTCGGCAAGCTCCCGAGCTCCAGCGTAAACTGCGTTGGCAGGTTATTTGCATTAGTTTATTCGAAATTTTACTAAAACCATAGGAAACTGAATGCTTGTGATCAAGTGGCACATCTTTTACTCTCTAAGCTCTTTGCAACTGGTCCTGCTAGTCCATGTAGTTGGTGTATAGCAGACAACGCGGCAACTCGCAGTTCGACGGTTAGAGGTTATGAAAAGTCGGGCAGAGTTGCTCTAAGACAGGCAGGAGAGTGGTGTTGAATGGGACGGAACAAAAGAAAATCCACGATTGCGTGTTTAGCGTGTCTGTGAAAAGATCTGTTTAAATGGCTGTCTTTTGATGTGTTGTACAGTGAATGTTGTACGTGAGAAATCTGCAATGTTACGACTTGCGGAAAGTGTTGTCTGTGCAGTAACTGTTACTACATGTAGTGATCGGGTAAGCAGTGAGTGACTGCATGGTCGTTGTGTTACGTGCTTTTGTTCTGTTTGCGGTACATGCGCACATGTCTGTGTATTTGTTTTATTTATTGATTTTTTGGCCCTCCCCTTACACCGCCATTTCATTGTTATCTTTATGTTTCTTCTTTAATATTTTCCTTACTTCTAGTCTTGCGTATTGAAAGGTGTGACAACTGAACTGGGAACTGATTGGGAATAATAGCGGCTATATTATGAACATCAAAATCTTTCGTGAAATAACGTCTGCAAAAAGAGTGAAGTATTTTTGCCAGGAAGATAAAGTATTTTATGGTATTTGTGGCAATTCCTGATGCATCGTTTTATTTTAATTTGTTTGAGCAGTAGTCTTAAGTGACAGTGGACTTTTAGTGTTAAAATGTGTTGGCATAAAGGCAGCAAAGAGTGCGACAAAGACAGTAAATAACCACGAATCGTCTGACTGAGCAGTATCGGGTTATGTGATGATGAACCGATGGTTTGGTTCAAGGACTCTGAGAGCGACAGGTAGGCCACTAACCGACCACACTGCAAACTATTTTTATTGTTTAGTTCTCGATCCTGTAAAACGTTATCTATGTTCAAAATTGTGGGTCCCATGCGTCGGCAGCTGAGGTGCTTATTTTGTCCGCATGGCTACATAGGCACAACAAATACTTCACACATAGGTACTTTGCATTGTAGCTTTTATGTCGGTAGTCTTTAAATATTGGTGTAACTGTCATACTTCGTCCTCGAAAATAAACCCAGCAACGATCTGAAAACCGAAGGCAGAAACGTGTTTCAGCAAATGACTTACCGTAACGATTCGAATACTGTACTGATAGTTTGGCCTCTGTTAAAAATTCCTGTGTTCGTATCCGGCTACAAGTTTAACACAGGCTACCATTTAAGACACGGTGTTTAATACAATATTTATGGTATTGTAGTAGCATATTTAAATTTGAGCAAGTCATTATATTAAACAAAACATTTCTGCCTCCTTCATCGCTATCATTAGGTTCCCACGTCTTAGAATTACTGACGTATTAAGATGTCATGACAGCATTTGTAAGGTCTCACCATACAACCTTGTCTTTCGGTTTGTAACAAAGAATTATGAATTAGATTCTTGGTGTCCGTGTGTTTTTTAGATCTAAAGTGCTGCGGTTTATCCATCGAACGTGTTTTTTGTGTCGTATCTGTTCTGAAAATGCAAAATGCCCCAAAAACATGTTTACACAGTAGGTTAATATTCAGTTTTATAATGTGTATATATCTGCATAGATGCCAGAAAATGATTGTCTTCTGAGTTGTTGTGCCGTGTAGTCTGGTATAGGTTTACAGAAGTTTGATAAGTGCTTGCTGCCTCCATCGTCAGAGCGATCGCCCTGATGATGAAGGCAAACATTTACCAGACTGCATGATGTAATAGTGAAGAAGACAACCATTTTCAAACTCGCCGCCGTGAACACAGTGATGAACGATTGGGTTTTGGGAAAATAAAGATTCGAAAAGCTGAATTATTGTCATCTGCTCAAGGAACAAACTACCATGAAGTTCGCTAAGAAAACGTCATGGGTCTATCAGGTTTAGAGAACCAGGAAGGTGAAAGACTCGTGACGTCCAATTCTGTGCCTTTCATCACGGAATTTTCGGGTACTTTACTAGCAACAGCTAGCAGTTTCGATTTTGTTTGCCGGTCACTGTTTTCGTCTCTCAAAGATAGGCGAAATCGCACGTTTCGCGAGAGGCTTACGCCAAGCATGCCGTCTCTGGTCATTCCATCAGTTTATTACAGTTAATGTGTCCGTGAGGTCTAAAGAAGTAGTCGTTTTAGAGCATTCTGTCCATCTGCTCAGCGAGTAATCACGCTGTGTAGAAAGTCGTGTAATTTTGGTCTTCTTATTCAGAAAAAAGTGCATAGCTTCGTTTATGTATCTAACAATGTTTTACTGCAGCCGTTATCAGGAAGTTTTTAGTTCATTGTACTGTAGGCCAAAGAACTCGCTTGTTACGGGTCTGTCCGTTTTTAGTCTGTTTCAGCACAATAGGCTACTACTACCAAGTTTCATTGGCTGTCTCATTTTGTTCTTGCCTTTTATTAATACATTCTCATTGTTCAAGCTCAAGCTCATCGTTGTAGTTTTAGAATAATCACTTCAATTCAGTTCTTTATGTTATTGTGCCAAAGCGATAGCAAATGGTCATTTACATATACAGCACAAACACAAATAAAAAAAACAAACAAAGTAATGAACGCAACTAACAATAAACACATATATAGCCTAATAAAAATTGCACAAGAGGGTTTTTTTGTTATCAATCCTAGGATTGGTTGGCACCCCATTACGAGGTTTTACTTGCGAAGGTACCACGGTGGTTTCGCCTATCCATCAGACACAAAAGAGGTTACTAACATTGTAATAATGATAATGAACATCAGACCTGTTCGGACCGAAGGAGAACCGAACTTAAAGGGGATTGGAGGGAAGGAGACACGAACTGTGTTATTATTAGAGCAGAGCGCTCGGGGGTCAAGTTTTTAAAACGCTTGACCAACTCCTCCTTCGAGGGGGTTGGTTTCGTTTTAAAATCTTGAGTAAGAAACTAAACTCCCCCCCCCCCGAATGGGGGGTTAAAACACTTGACCAACCCCCCTTAGGGGGGGTTAGTTTAGTGTCTTACTCAAGTCATTTGTTTGATGACGTCATTTTTTGACAAGTCACAAATTTTTATAGTAGATTGTTGTTGTTGATAAAGTGAGTTATTGTTATTAACCGGGTTGGCCCATTCAGTAAAGTGGTTGGCTACGGTTTGAGCGACCGTGGTTCGTTCCTCAGCAGGGTCGGGATATTTATTTGTTCTCTTCTAAAGCCTCTGGTCCCCACCCAGCCTCCTAATCATTGGTTACAAGGTGCTCTTTCCTGGAGGTTAATGTGGCCGGAGTGTGAAGCTGAAGCTCATATCCATCTAGTTGATATTGTAATTATTATTGTCACCTTACATGCTATCTGTCCATGAGCTAGGGCATTATATTGTGTTTTATGCTTATTATAAAGTAGTTTTTGGAAGATAGGCCTGCATTTTTAATTAATTGCCGCGTTAATATTTGTAATGTGTTCCTTGTACCCAGAATGACATTTTGTTCTGCTCGCCTCGCCCTAAGGACGGCGCTGTCTGCGCTGAATGAGGATTGATTGAGTAACCGGACTGCGTTCAAAGAAATCGCAGTGTCGTAAATTTCAGAATTTGAGGTTTTCTCCATTGTCACTGGTATATTGCCTGGTTGACAGTGCTGGAGGACTAAATTCATATTGGATCATTCCGTTCATATAGAAAAGTGGACGAGCTTTGTTTTTCACTCTGACTTTGGCTTGCACCTACTAAAATGTGTGGAAGATTACCTTCCAGGGCAGTCAAAAACTTTTATTACTTGATCACTTCTATGTGTATTGTACATTAGTATATTCCATTTTGTTTACACTTGTCTCTGGAGCATCCAGAACTCTAACACGATTTCCTGTTACTGTACACAAAGAGTTTTTGCCGGAATGAATTTCAGTGTAACGCGAGCCCCGATATTTATCAGGACGTGCCCGTTGCTTTACAATCGATCCTATTGTAAGCACGATGCTTATTTTGAACGTACATTCTCTATTTGTTTTGAAATTAAAGCCCAGTTGAGCTTTCCGCCTTTAAAATGGTGTCTAATTAAGAACGACTAATTAAAGCATTCAGCTTGTTTAATATCAGCTTTACAGCGAAAGATACAAAACAGTATTCATCCCCCTTATTTATACATTAAATGAGACCATTTGAGATTAAACCCTCTATTTGGATTAACTCGCGGCATCCTTTCTGTTAACGTACTTTGTTTTGTGATACGTATCAATGCGTATGGACGTGTGCGCAAGAAAAGAATGCCGTCATCTTATATCTTGTTGTTTTGTGGTTAATACCAAGGATGGTTTTTGACCCGCCGAAGGTACAAGACCACATTGTAATGCAGGTGTTTTCAGCTTGCGGTCCGCATGATCGTGTTAATACTGTCACCCGGTATGATAAAAGAATTGTCAGCTGACATCAGAAAATACGTGTTGTTAAGCCCTTATAGCACAGTGTTATGCATAAACGATTTACCGGAAAGTAAATATGCATTTTGCCAGCAGTGAGAATTTATGAGTTTCGTATGATTCTCAGAACAAGTATCGATTATTTCCTTGAGGAACACTGTCTGATTTATTTCGGTAATAGTGCTTTATTTGCGGTGAGAACTGAACTGAATTGAATTTCAGGCTTCAGAGAATTAATGACGTCAATATAGTGAAATAATTGTAGCTGTGAGCAACTGTAGAGCTTGGTGAAGAACGTTATGGGGGAGAATTAGTACTCGTCTCGCTGATCAGCGCTGAGAAGGACGTGTGCGAATCGCAAAGACAGAAATGAAATCGATACTGAATTGTTACTGAAGTAAAAGCGATGTGTTACATGCCGAATAAATTGTCCCTCATGTGTGGAGAAGGAATGCTTAGCATTTTACCAAACTCAAGCTGGAATAACGTCTGGAATGTAAAATAAAAACTTTGTTCTGCAGTCTGTTGTATAATTCATAACTGGACACGTGTTGGGGTTCATGGCTGTCGCTGGCAGTTCGACATGCCTCAGAAAAGGTTTTGTATGAAATATATGTATTGTCGCTTCCTTACCAACACCCAGGGAGTACAAAGACAAAGCAACAGGCACACCTAGAAGGATGAGTAATGGAAAGTATGTCGGTGAAGACTAAATATTTGCTTCACAGTATGTTGTGTACAAAGTGACCATGCCACTGTGCAAGTGCTGTGTTGAACTCTGGTTAGGTCCTAAACTGCAGCGATGTGGAACCGACTGTGTTTTATTTATGCCCAGATATTGTAACAGTTCATTTAGACAAGTTATTTTATAAATGTAGGATCCGTTAAGCAGGCTACTGTTAAGAGGAATCAGCCCGGAATCTAATATATTATATTGATTTTTATTAAATATTTTCTTTATGAAGTGAGTTCCCGTGTGTGGAACAACGATAGATAACTTTCGTGGAAGCATGCATTTGTCAGCCGCGGAGGGCCGTTTGTTGTGGCAAATCTAATTTTGATGATGGAAGCAGGGACAGTGGAATGACAGGCAGGCATACTCAGGAAGTTCAGGGCCACGACCCCACACATCTCTGACGCAACAGGTCCTCTTTAAACTGGACCAGCAAGCTTTCGTGTCCTGTTCTTGTGTACAGAATTGTAGTCAGTTACAAGCTACTGCATAATGGAGTGTTGTTTTTGGCGTAACGCACAAAAACGTACCCAGATGCTTTATTACAGTGTCAAACATCTAGTTTTCATTCATGCATAGGTCAACAACAGCAAATATCCCACAGTAGTAATCCCTCATACCAGACAACTTAACGAGATGTCCATATCAAATTGAAGTTGAAAGAAAATTTGTCAGCTTTAATCTACCTTCGAGATGAGGTACCCAATGGGAACCTAGAC